CAAAGGTCCCATTACCTTCTCCACTTCAATCAGCACCCTACAGAATTTCACTTCCCAATCATTGGAGCACCCCAGACACAGCCATCAGCCCTCTGAAATCCCCTTGTCCTGGAAATTCTCGTTCTGTTTTCACTAGCCCTCACTCTGGTGATTGTTTTGGGTCAAAAAGCAGCACATTCCATTGCTAAGCGATAAAATTTGCGCTTTTCTCATCCCTGACATCCCAAACCAAGTGCAACCAGCGATTCAGGTGTTCCAGGCCTGAAAGGAGCTCCAGGAGCTTGGTGTCCACCCTCTGGCTCACCACGAGGAGCTCCACCAGCCAATTCCTGGAGATCCCTCTGCAGCTGCATTTGGAGGTGTTTGCACTTACATTCATTGAGGGACCCTCACCACCGAGATCAATGCTGTCCCACCGGGATAAAACCCTCCCCAGGATTTTTTGGCACCTTCCACCTGCTCATCTGGGCCGCGATTTGCAGCTCTGAGGAGTGTAATGCTGGATTTGCAGCTACGACATGATGGAGTGGCGCTTTGGAGTCACCTCGTTTGAAAGAGAAGCATCTGGTCCCTCCACCATCTGTTCTTGGTCCAGGTCAAGGGCTGTCTCCCTTTATTAAGCAATTAAAGATGATGGAAATGTATTCAAGCTAAATTCTGAGCCAAAACAACAACAAAAAAATTAATAATTATGACTATTTTTGTCAGAACTGAGAGTTTTTCCACTGTCAGCAGGATGGTTCCCCAAGCTGAGCCTGAAATCAGACAAACGGGGCAAGAAGGGGAGAGAAAAATCGTCCAAAATAACCTCAGGTGACCCATTTATCTTCCAGATCCAGGTACAGGGTAACAGCTCTCAGCTGCTGAGGCACTGTAACGAAAAAAGAAAACCTGCGGTGGAAATGCTCCCAATGTACCCAAAATTTGACAAAATCACAGAGTTTGCTGTGGGGGGATTCGTGCAGGTGGCAGAGGAAGGGGSACAAGGCTGAGGAGGGCATTCCCAGCGTGAATATTTGAATTTTTCAAGGCAGATGTGGGTGTCCAGCCTTGGAAAATCCAAATCCGAACAATGATGGCTCTGTTGCCCATCACAGACATAAATCCAGGGCAGAGTTTCTACCTCGAAAATTCACTTTCATCAGACCCCATTGATTAAAAATGTCCAGCAGTGAAAAGTCATTCCTAGATCACATTGGATCCGAGGGGGTTTGGGGAGAAAACAGCAGTTGAGCGGCTCTTGGAACGATAATTTCTGTTTTTTAACCCTTCATAAACAGCAACAGCCCCGCTCAGGGTGGTTCCCCCTCTCCCTCCATCCCTTCGGGGCTTTCTGTCAGCAGCAGCTCCCAGACAGGKGAGAAATCAGCGCCATCAGCTGCGCATTCCCTTCCTCTCTGGATGRGATCCTCCTCTTCTGCTCTGATACCCAACCTCTTTCCCAGCCACCTTTCCTGATTTTCTCTTTCTTCCTCTCCCCTTCCCCCTGCTGCTTTGTACGGAGCCTCTTCCAGGAGAGGCGAAATCCCCTCGAACGCGCAAAAACCCGGCTGGGTGGAACATCTGCTCRGCATCTGCGGAGCCAGGCGCGTCCCCAGGCAGCGCTGCGAGCGGTGTTGGATCTGGGAGCGAGCACGAAGGGCTGGAGCATCTGCTCCTGTCACCGAAATTACGGGAAAAACAACAAAAAACCCTCTCCGACATTTTTAATGTTAGAAAGCCAAGGCATTGCTTTATTTACTGGTTAGGATGTTTGGTTTTGTTTTGTTTCTGTTTGTGCCACAGAAATCATCTCATCCACACATGGGGTGTGCGGAGAAAATTCTTTTAGGACACATTAATTTTATAAGATTTTCTTTAAACTTTATACAGTTAAAACTCATAGAACTCTGTTGGTTTAATGTTTATTGGTTCAATGCTGCGTAGTTTTTAGTTGTTTGCTTTTTATTGGGTTTGGGTTTTTTCACTTTTGATGTTAATTAGATATTCTTTTTAATCTTTTTTTTTTAGACCAGGTGCTTCTGACCACACCAGGGATGATGTTCAGGGCTGATTCTCCATCAAATGACCATTGATAGTTTTTGATGATTGTCGATGTTTTTTATTTTTATTTTTTGTGCTACTCCCGGTATGTTCCTCACCTGGTGGAACAATGCTTTGGAAAGAAACCCTTCTCCTAGAGCAAAGATAAACCAGAATCTCTGACTGAAGTTAARCYAAAATTTTTAAACTGATRTGTTTTCTAACACTCCGAGCYGGGAACCCRGCGCACAAAACTCCCCGTGCTCTGCCCGTTCCTCCAGCGGACAGTTGTCCCATCCAGAGTGCTTTTTAGGCACAGAGCTGCTGCTCTCTCCCCATTTTGGTGTTTTCACAGTGACCAGGGAGTTGGAGAAGCGTCTGGAAGGGAACCCAGAGCGGGTGGTTTCTCTCGGGAGCATTGCTTGGACACGGCGCTGGGAAATACAGCTGGAAATACAGGAACCCAAAGGTCTTTTCCAGCCTTTCCGTGGCTTCAAAGAAACTCCAGAGTGACAGCCCAATTCCAAACCTCATCCCTGCCACCTCTGACTGCAGCCATTTCTGCGTCCATCCCCTCCTTCCCTGTTCCTCTCTGTGATTCAGTGACTCAGAGCTTCCACCACACCAAAACTTTGATTTACTTYGATTTGCTTTGATTTRYTTTGATTTACTTYGATTTACTTTGATTTACTTTGATTTACTTTGTCCAAAACCAGCACCAAACTCACGCCCTGAGCTGCCCAGAGGAGGCAGGACAAACTCTGATTATTGAACAGCCATTTGTCCACTCTGTGATTGTCACCTTGGCGCTTTCTCAAGCAGATTTACAGTTGATGAGTTTCCTGTTGAATTTGCACAGCAAGGAGAACAAAGCAGTCCGAATGTTTCGTGAACTGTCGCTTTCTCTCGGTTAATCTTTACAAAAACCTTCCCTGCAGCCTCTTTTCTGCTGCCTTAAACCTTGGGGACAGGCAGAATTGCCACAAGGAAAAATGCCAGCTTGCTAAGAAGAAAACCTGTGCCTTATTCTAAAATCAATTCCCTCTTTTCCCGGGCCAAACCCGCCAGGATTGTGCCCTAAAACACTGCCAGAGGGAGAACCTGAAGATCCTTCGGATCCATGGAAAATGCGGGCAATTTTCTGCTCTCTGGCTCTTCACCAGAAGCTGTCGAGCTTTGTGCTGTCAGGAAGGTGCCCGTGGCTCACAAACTTCACAGAAATCTTGAGATGTCACCACATGGCAGCAGGACGGGAGTGTGTGCACCAAGTCAAGCATGCGATTAAACATCTCCATAAAAGCTCTTTATGACGTGATTCAGGAAAAACATTTAGGCTCGCTCTAACTTTAAACACGATTCCTTTCCATTCGCTTCGGCCYTTAAAATATTTCCGAATTAATTTAGGCATTGGCTTAAGCACCGTGGAAATAAAAGGGAATTAATCTCGCATTATTAAGCTGTGGTGCCGCTCAACAGCTCGCACCCCATCCCTGTGGGTTCCTGCTGCTCCCCCGGTTTCCAGCTCTTCCCGAGGTGTGGCTCACCTGCTCCACCCCTCTGGGAGGGCACCCACGGTGTAGTTTTACAGTTTCTGCTGTTTCCTGATCTGAGACAGAGCTCCGAGTGTCCACAGAGCAATTGTGTCACTGGGGTGTGAACAGAAAATGCAGCAACCAGAGGAGGTGTTGGCTCACCTGATGTGACACCCGATGATTTTTAATTTTCCTTTTTATATATCTTTTATGTATCCCTGTACCCTTAGCATACATGATTGTAATCCTTAAAATCTCATATTCCAGCTTGGTTTTGGGGTTCTGCTGGGCAGAAAACCCAAACATCCTCAAGAAGGACTCAGCGTGCCCCACGCCATCTCAAATTTGAGGCTCCAACCTTGGTTGAAGCCTCCTCTCTGGAACATGTCGCATAAACCAAACTTTAACCTCGTCCAAGAGGAGATTCTTTGGAGTAGGAGGGCATTACTTCATTTTTATATCTCTTATGGAGGAATTCTAGATAGATTTACTAATTTGTGAAATTTATAAAACTTCCACAAGTGTTACACATGGGGTGCATTTTCCAGCATTTCTTCCGTTCTGTCRAGTTGTGCACCCGAGATCCCATTAAAACCCTTTTATCCCCTGTCATCATTCAAACTGACCCACCARGGCAGCAGTTTTCTGGCACCCTGAGATGGGATGAGAAGGTCCCAGTGTGTCCCAGTTTTGCACAGCAGGGCATCCCACACCTTCCCTCTCCAGGAGAGCAGGAGATGCCTCTGGCTTGTGCTGTCAAACACAGAACCGTGTGTTTGTGACAGCAATATAATAGGATTTTGTTTGTCTGACCATTGGACACTCTGGGGCTATTAACACTTCACCAAAAAAAGATAAAGGATTATTTTGTTCCTTCCTCCAGCCACTCCTCACCAAACAAAATCCCTCTGTGAACCTCCTCCAAACGGCAAGCKGAGAGACCGGACTTTTGGAAGGGCTCAATAACTGCTCAACAATGGATTTTCTAAGAGAAAGTCAATAGAAATCTCATTTTTAGATTAATTCCTGTTGTTTTGTAGAGGACAGCTGATAAAGAGGGAAGCACGTGTGCTAATTAGTTTGGAGAGGAGAAGAGGAGCCATGAAGTATTTCCTGCCRAGAACACGTGAAGTATTTAAATCCCGAGGATTTGCAATCGGGGAAAACTTTGGAAATCTTCCTCAAGGACACAACCAGAGCTCCCAAAAATATCATTCAGAGTGGGGGCTGTTAATGAAATTAGAGCCTACTTTCTGGATAAATAAATCTAACTGAAGTTGTGAGTGTTCCTCGCTCTCCATGGGTGAGGCCATGGAGGAGTTTTGCTACAACTTCGAGCAGGGAAACCCCGCTGAGGAATTTCTGCTCTGGGAGCCGACAGATCCCGACAGCCAGCTGGAGAATTTCCTCCTGGAGTGCCTGGCAGAGCCTTCCTGGCCGGGCCCAGTGGGTGCAGAGCTGGACAAGCCCCCCGTGCCCCCCGYGCCCCCCGGCCGGCCCCGGCAGCGCCGCGCCGCCAACCTCCGCGAGAGGAGGAGGATGCTGAGCATCAACTCGGCCTTCGAGGAGCTGCGGGGCCGCGTGCCCACCTTCCCCTACGAGAAACGCCTGTCCAAGATCGACACGCTGCGCTTGGCCATCGCCTACATCGCCCTGCTGGGCGACATCCTGCTCTCGGGGTGCCACCCCAGAGCCTACGTGGAGCAGTGCCTGAGCGGCGGCTGCCACAGCACCCATGGGGCTGCCTGGAACACGAGCGGTGAGAGGGGACGGCAGTGTTTGGGGGAGAGGAGCAATGGGGTCAGATCTGGGAGCAGAGCAATGGGGTCAGATATGGGAGCAGAGCAATGGGATCGGATCTGGGAGCAGAGCAATGGGATTGGATCTGGGAGCAGAGCAATGGGGTCAGATCTGGGAGCAGAGCAATGGGATCAGATCTGGGAGCAGAGCAATGGGATTGGATTTGGGAGCAGAGCAATCGGATCAGGTTTGGGTGGTGTTTTGGGGGATCAGAGGAATGGGATCAGATCTGGGCAGTGTTTTGGGGGATCAGAGGAATGGGATCAGATATGGGAGCAGAGCAGTGCAATGGGGTCAGATATGGGAGCAGAGTAATGGGATCAGATCTGGGCAATGTTTGGGAGAGCAGAGCAATAGGATGAGTTCTAGGAGCAGAGCAATGGGATCAGATCTTGGAGCAGAGCAATGGGATCAGATCTTGGAGCAGAGCAATGGGATCAGATCTTGGAGCAGAGCAATGGGATCGGATCTGGGTGGTGTCTGGGGGAGCAGAGCAATGGGATCGGATCTGGGAGCAGAGCAATGGGGTCAGATATGGGAGCAGAGCAATGGGATCGGATTTGGGCAGCATTTTGGGGCAGCAGAGCAATGGGATCAGATCTGGGTGGTGTTTTGGGGGAAGAGAACAATGGGATCATATCTGGGAGAAGAGCAATGGGATCAGATCTGGCAGCGTTTTGGGGGAGCAGAGCAATGGGATGGGATCTGGGAGCAGAGCAATGGGGTCAGATTTGGGCAGCATTTGGGGGAATTAGGGTAAAATTATTGGATATATCCAAAATTAATGGAAATACCCAAATGAATGGAAAGGTCCAAAATGAATGTAAATATACAAAATTATTGGAAATATCCAAAAAGAATGCAAATATCCAAAATGAATGGAAAGAGCCAAATGAAGGAGGCTCCTCCTCTGGAGAGCTGACCTGCCAAAGGTTAATTTAAATGTTTAAATGGTTTTGTTTCCCTGTGTCCCTGCAGATCTGACAGCCCGCCTGTCCTGGGTGAAGTGGGATTAAGGAAAGGCAGCACAAGCCCAGGATTGGATTGCCGAGTGCCATCTGCTCAACTCCCAGCTTTAACCACCTCAAATCTCCTCCTCAGTGCCCAGCCCCTTTCTCCTTCACTGGTCAGGATTTTCTGCTTCTCTCCCTCCCAGTTTCTCCCCACTGACAGAGCCKTTCTCACCTGGAAACAACAAAACATTAAAAAATAATCCCAGCAGCAACGCTTTCTCTTCCACCGGGTGAGGATTTTGCCCAAATCACATTCCCAGAATGAAATGATCATGAGAAAAAAAACCAAAGTGACACTTGTGGGAATTTATTGCTTGGATTCAGATGGGCAGGGTGGGGATTGTGAAAGTCATCAATGGTTTAGGGACCATGAAGGTGCAGGAGGTGAGAGGTGGCTCTGTRAAAACCCCAAATTTCCCATTTTACAGAATCCCAGAGTTCTCTGGGTTGGAAGGACCTCAAATCCCATCCAGTGCCACCCCTGCCATGGGCAGGGACATCTCCCACTGTCCCAGGATGCTCCAAACCCATCCAATCTGCTCTGGAACATTCCAGGGATCCAGGGGCAGYMACAGCTTCCCTGGGTATCCTGCTCAATCTGAAACCATTCTGCATTAATGTYCTTTATGTGGCATTTTGCAGCAGGAAGCGAGAAAAATGTATTTATGATTTCTCACCCTCATTAGTTCATCTCACAGCCCGATCTCTACAAAGAAAACCACATCAGGAACYGGGATTTCGCTCTGGGGGCAGTGAAGATGAAATGGGGCCCTAGAGGAGGAAACTGTGAAGAACCTTTTGATTTTTCTGAAAAAAAAAAAAAAAAAAGAGGGGAGGGGGTGTTTAATTGTAGGTGCAACAGTGCATTTCAGTCAATTTAGAATAAAACATTCAATCTCAAAACTTTTTGATTTTTCACCTTCTTACAACAATCGGATTTTTTACACGAAGCAGCACCTGAAACGGTGAAAATCACCCCAAATAAATCCGTCCATAGGCAGGGACACGGCAGGGGGGGTCACCAGCCAGCTCTGGACTCGGGGAGAGCTTCCCAAGCCACATCAGCTCCTTCGGTGGGAACAAATCCCAATTCGTGTCTAATTTTAGATGACTCCCACCCAGCCCGAGTGCAGCTGAGGGGGAAACTCCAGCCCCAAAGCCGTTCCGATCCCAAAAATCTCAACAAGAACTCGCGGCCAGGAGAGCGGGGCGGGAATAACAGCAGATCCCGCTGGTTTGGGATCGCCGATGGGAATCCAGCTGCAGGCACTGCCCTCTCGTGGTCCGCGATTCAAACCTCGCCTTCCCAAAATCGGAGTGGTCCCAAAATGCTGCCAGCGTCCCCCGCTCCAGCTCAGCCCCGAGAGAGGAGCAGATGCGCCTTTTCACCCCAAATCCTCGCGGTTTATCCTTCCCAAGCCGTTTTTGGGGTCTTTCCACGTCCTGCTTGCGCACCTTGCCCAGGGAAACTAATGAAATGTAATTTACCCTGTTAATTCCCTCCTCTGCAGTGCCTGGAAAAGGGGGACTGGAAAAGGGGAAGAATAGGAAAAGGARGAGGAAGAGGGAAAAAGGGAATAATAGGAAAAGGGAGAAGAATAGGAAAAGGGGGGAGAACAGGAAAAGAGGGAGGGACAGAAAAACGGGGAAGAATAAGAAAAAAGGGAACAGAAAAAGGGGAAAGAATAGGAAAATGGGGAAGAAAAGGAAAAGAGGGAAGAATAGGAAAACAGAAGACAAGGGAAAGAGGGAATAATAGGAAAAGGGAGGAATAGGATAAGGGGGAGCAGGAAAAAAGGGAAAGAATAGGAAAAGAGAAAAGAATAGGAAAAGGGGGAAGAATAGGATAATGGGGAGGAATAGGAAAAGTGGGAACAGGAAAACAGGGAAGAATAGAGAAAGAGGGAAGAATAAAAGCTCCTCTGTGGAGCTCAGGAGTTATTATCAACTGTGAAATCACAGCAGCTTGGTGGCCTTTCCCAAGCGCTCCGGTGCCTGGCATGTTTCCCTCTTCCCTCTTTCCACCCTTCCAGCGACAATTCCCGCTCTTGATGAGCGGACAAAGCCAATSAAATCCCATTCCCAGCTCACAGATTCCGCTGGGATTCCCAGGGAGGGCATTTTGCTGAACGACCTCCTTGGAAGGGGCACGATCCCGATSCCCCCGGGGCTGAGCCGCAGAGAGGCTCTTCTGGAGCTGTTTGGAACACCACAGACACCGCCAGCACTGCATTTATCCCCCCAATCCCATAATTCCCCCTCCTGTGAAGGTGCACACCAACCCACCCCAAATCACTGTCGTGGGTGACACAGCAGCACAAGGTAGAATTTCCCAGCTGGAAGAAACCCTTGCACTGATTTTTGCACACCCCACTCACAGATTCCTTGAAAACAAAACAAAACAAAACAAAACAAAAACCTTGCTCCATTCCCTCCGTGCCAGATTCCTTGGAAAAAGAACCCCAAAAACTCCAAAAAACTTGCTCCAGTCCTTCCACACCACAACTCTCAGATTTCTTGAGGAGAAAACCCCCAAAACCCCGAAACCCCCCAAAACCCTGCTCCATTCCCTCCACGTCAAAACCTCCATATTCCTTGAAAAGAAAAACCCCAAAACCTTGCTCCAGTCCTCCCACCCCACAACTCCCAGATTCCTTGGAAAAAAAACCCCAAAACCTTTGGTCCAGGCAGATTTGCAGTTTAATCCCACTTTATCAGGCCAGAGAAGGCACCCAGCACGTGCTCAAACATAAGCCTGGCTTATATTTAAATTAGACCATCAGGGTGCAATTAGCACAGGGGATAAACCCCGGCATCGGGGTGGATCAACACCTCGCAGTGAGCAGATTATCAGTTTTCCTCTCTGGAATCCTCGCTGCACCCTTAAATTAACATTTCCCRGGGAGGTGATCCCATATTTTCGGTGTCTTTCCGACAGACACCGCCGGGGGAGGATTTCTGACAGGAATTTCGGCCTCAGAAACCTTACACTGCTTCCAGGGGGTGAAAAACGCCCGAGCCAAACAAAAAAAAATTAGAAAAAAGCTCTTTCAACAGCTCGATTTCCTTTTTCCTTTTTTTCTCCCAAGTCAAGCTGTTTTCCTTGGGGTAAAACATCAGGAAAACATTGGGACCCCGAGCCTGGGCTGGAGCTCAGACTCTCTGCAAAATGAAAGTGATGTGTGGTTGGTACCTCCCTGTCAATTCCTGGTGTTAAAAATAAAAAAAAAAATAAAATCCTGTAAAAATGCAGAATTTATTCAGTGGGAGAAGGTGGCAAAGCATTGGGAGTTTTGCTGATTAAAAAAAAACAACAACCAGAAATTATTGACTCTCAATGCAGGGGAGAATGGGAAAAGGGAAAAAATAGGAAAAGGGGGAACAGGAAAAGGGGAGGAATAGGAAAAAGGGAGGAATAGGAAAAGGGTAAGAATAGGAAAGTGGGAAATAATAGGAAAAAGGGAAAGAAGAGGAAAAGGGGCAGGAATAGGAAAAGGGAAAGGAATAGGAAAAGAAAAAAAATAAATAATGTGGAGGAAGAATTGCACGCTAAAAAAAAAGGAACCTTTTTAAATTGAAGGGAAATCTGGAGAGAGCTGAACTTATTTGAAGGGTAAAACGTGCTGCCCTTAACTTTGGAGAGATTTCATAAAATAAAACACAGAAGAGCCGAGCAGCCTCTTCTGCTAAAGGTGCTTTGTACAAATGGTGAGATCCAATTCATCCCWACAGAAATACCGACCATTTCCAAACTCTACAAAGCAGTTAAAAAAMCACACTGAAAAAGCATTCAGGGAATTTATTTTAATTCCTCACTACCATATGAAYTCAAAATAAGTGCGTTTTAAAACACTCTCACTGCTTAAATAAATTCAAAACCCTGAATAAACAGTGAGGGAGGTGGTTTTTGCCCTGCTTGATTTTTTTTTTCCCACTTCTTTTCCTCTGTGATATCTCTTACCTTGCTACTTATTCCTAGCACAAGTTCACAGCTGCAGGGAGGGCTTTTTATTTATTTTTTTTTTATTCCTCCTTTTTTTGGGAGCAGATCAGCTCGAATCTGGAGGGGAACTTCATGGTTGTGGCTGTTTTAGGCCTCCAGAACTGAGGAAAAGCTGCCTCACCTCCCTTCAAGAAAACATGTGCTGGAGCAGAGTGGAGCACTTCAATCTCAAACTGGAAAGCAGAAAACAAAGCAAAAAAAAAAACAAAACAAAAAAAGTTAAAAAATTCAATCCCCACATTTCATAAAACCAACCCTTAGAMGGGCAAATATCTGATTCCTCTTTAATTAAAAGGTGCAGCAAATAAAAATCTGGCTTTCATTAAGCGGCAGGAATAGAAGATGTTATCTTCCCGAAGCGCTGAATTCGCCCCGGCGAGTCGGATTTTTGGTTGAAACCCGCACGGATCAGCCCCAAGCCGGCGCTCTGGAGGGGGAATTTTATTTTCTGTGAGCAGATTTCTGCAATCCTGGGTTAAGGCAGCCAGTTCCTGTATAAACCAGTCGGGGTGATGGTTTTTTACTGGTTTGAACTGGGATTAAACTGGGTCCTGCAGAGCCGGGTGGTGTCAAAAATCCCAAGGAATGTTCACATTTAGCACATTCAACCCTTGCTTTACCTGCTGAGGGGTACAGTGAATTTAATAGGAGTTTAATATGRATTTAATATGAATTTAGTATGAATTTAATACGAATTTCATATGAATTTCATAGGAATTTAATATGAAATTATTATGCATGTAATATGATTTTAATATGATTTTTTATTAATTTAATATGAATTTAGTATGAATTTAGTATGAATTTATATGAATTTAATATGAATTTATATGAATTTAATGAGTGTTCAAGCCATTTTCATTTTCTATCAAGACCTTACTCCAGTCCCTCCACACCACAACTCCCACATTCCACGGGGAAAAAAAAAACCAGCAAAACCCAAAACCTTGCTCCAGTCCCTCTATGCCACATCTCCCAGATTCCTTGGAAAAAAACCCAA